CATCGGAGAGGTTGGGAATATAGGGCTGTACCTTACAGTTCAAATAACCTGCCTTAATGGCAGCAGGTGGACGTAGTGATGAAAACCTCAAAATTAAAACTGAGGTCGGCACCATAATTCCATCTTGACGAGTGGAGATCCTTCGAACTGCCGAAACTCCTTGATTGGAGAAACCAGCAAGGATCTCCGTCTCAGGGATAGATTTCAAATCCCTCTAAACGATAACTCCTCGTGAGGAATTCAAGGAAGCGTGGGGAGTAACCTCAATGGGTATATCCCCAATGGCCTTTGAATTCAAGAGAAGTTCACTGTGCTTAGGATGGGAAGTTTCTACTAAGATGTCTCCAGAACGTAGCTTGTTAACTGACTTTGGAGAGCCAGCAAGCCCCTCTAAGCCCTTCTGAATAAAAAAAGGAGACATTTGCCCTAAAGATTTATCTGATAGTGAATGCATGATTAAAAAGCGAGGTACAGGTGTACTGGGTGATGGAGACTGCTGTTCGGAGTCTTCTAAACGTGGTCGTTTACCAATAAGCAGATTTTTAACATTTTTTTTATTTGGAATGGAGGGGATCCATAATTAAAGAGAGAGAGATTCAGTGCCCACTGACCCCACCCGCCATGGAGTCCTACGAGGGGGCGCACTACAATGTCAAACAAGGACACTGCAGCAATGCCAGGGTTTCGTGAGCACTATACCCAAACACCAGTATCAGACACGATGTCCACAACACCCGTTGAGAACGCCCAACACTGGTACTCAGTTGACCCTCGCCTCATTGGACCAGCCGATTGACCCTAGGGGGGGCCACCCCAAGGCCACCCGTCTACAGGAATTCAAGGCCAAAGTGGTGTGTTGCAGTGCCCAAGACACCACTCAACCACCAGGATCCTCTCCACCCCTTCACGGGTCGCCACGCACGGCAAACACGTTGGTGGATGTTTAGATCCCAGAGAAAGTAACTGAAAATACAGAACCTTCCCTGGAAGGTCCCCTCACCCCGTACAGGAATCCACGTCGAGGGGTCTGGTATAGGGGGCACATTGACATAGGTGGAGATAATCATTAGCTATGTGCAAAATAGTAGGATATAAAGGCTGTAGCAAGCGAGGTAAGACTCATATCAATGCTTAAATGGGCCAAGACGAAACAGTTTTGTCAGGATAAAGCTAAAGTGTGAAAAGAGGTAAGTGTGTTTCACAAACTGAATTTTATCTGTATTTATACACTTTTTTTTTCAGTTGATTTCAGCATGCTCTGTACAAAATCATTAATGTTTGTGAACCCCCTGAAATGTTTTTTGCATAACAAGGCACTCAAAGCCCTTTAACTTTCTCAATATGAGCTCGGTCAATTTGACTGACCACATGACCTTTTTGTACTCGTTTAAAGTCTTTATAGATTTAATACTTATAACTCTCAATATGGTGTGTATATCTTCACTAAATTTGGCAGTCTTTCAGTTAACATATCTTTCATACACAAAAAATCATATTTTATAGTGAAGTATTTCTAATAAAATAAAATAAAGATTTGTCCATGAATATACTGAGTATTTGTTTTGAATAGTCCGTGTGCAAATTAATTTTCATGTTAAAATTATAAATACTTTTCTTCATCTCAAAAATATCAAATTTCCTTTGTGCAATCCCTAAAATGCATTTCAAACGTTTTTTCAGAAATAATTTATAGTTTATCTGTTATTTTCTCTACCCTATCTCAAAATGGGATTAATCAATTCGACTGATCTTGTAACCACCAAAAAAAACAATAGAAATAAACCTAAATTTCCCATTTTTTTCTTTCTAGAATGACTTCAAATTGTAACATGTGCATAGTTACACAATGTGCTATCTCCACTTTGTCAACCTCTGGAATGTTATCAATATAAGTCTGTAAACTACTCACTGACCTACCAAATCCTACAAAATAGATGCTGACAAATCTATTCAGTTTATAGAAAGAAAATAGGGGTTTAATTTCAAATATATGTAGACAATGACTATTAAATGTATAGAAATGTATGCAGAAAATCAATTGGCCTCTGATCAACTTTCTACATAAATGAAATTTTTATTGTACCTTTTTACATTTTGTTCAAATTCTGTACTTTCTTTTGCTAAAAAAATAATTTTACTGGGTTTATGTAATTGCATTAGGAGCTTACTTCTTAGAAAATGTTTAAATACAAAGGTCACCCAAAGTTGTCTAAAAAAAAGAATCTTTAAATATATCAAAAAGTTCATTTTAGTATATTTTCAAAGCATAGATATGTGTGATGATACTTAATTTTAGTGAGAGCTTTAGCTTACCTCTCCTAATAACATTTCCACATGATTGTCTTTTCCTTTAAAAGTGTAGAGAGATGAATTCCTATTAACAACCAGCTGAAATAAAAATAAATCTATCAGAAAGATCTCTATAATCTTATTATCTAAAATAATTAAAACTTAAGCACTCAAATAAAATCAATGTATGATACTTATTCTATTTTTCAAACAACTTTTATTTGTACAATCTTTAATGCCATAATACAAATGATATAAAGATAAAGTTATAATTTTCCTATACTGAAAATGTATTTCTGATAGATACTTATCTCTACTCACATAACAGCTTTTCTCAATCAGTGCTTCCCCTATATGTGCAATTTTTGCTCGCAACTAGCCTTGATACTCCCACCTACCTTCACGTGTTTAGCATGCAACAACTCTCCACTAATAGGAGTACAACACATCTTCCCGATGCAGCTGACTCCCTCTATACCAAAGAGCTCAACCTTTACTTCAAGATTAGGCAAAAAAGAAGCACTGGACACAGGAGGAAAGGTGGGAAATGTGAGTGGAAGTATCTATTGGAAATACATTTTCAGTGTAGGAAAATTATAACTTCCGATACAATACCTTACTTCTTCTCAGATAATGACATGGGTAGAATCCCACATTGGACTGGTGGAGGGAGTGGTGCAAAATGTACATAGATGAGTACCCTTTGGAAAGCATCCAAAGAGAGCCCATGGAATGTGACATCTCTCTGTAGAGAAACACACCTCTGTGAGACTGCACCACATCTGTTCTAGGTATACTCTTCCCTTGTTGTAAAGATATGTGTCATTAAATTGGGAAGAAAAGGAGCCCATGGGTGCAGACCCAGAACACAACCAACTCCAGGCCACCCATAAATCCAACATTTGAGCAATGGTAGAAATACAACGTGATGGTCCACTCGAATTCAAAACCTGGCAGAATTGGAAAATGATTGTTCCACCTGTGGTAGGATGAGGGCTCCCTACCATCCGCATGTGTTAGGACTTATGTTGGCTGGTCCAGCTGTAATTCAATACCAGACCACCTAGGAAATGACATACAGGCAGTGGTAGGATGAGGGGTCACAGCCAGAGGGGTGAACTACAGTTGGTGGATTATCTCCAGCCCAAAACCAGGTGGTGTTGGATATTTGTCTTCTGATCCATAGTAGGAGGAGGGTTCATATCATCTATACCAAAAGAACACCACTGCTCTACTCTAAACTGAATGGAATTGAGTGCACTCAGGAGGATGCCTCCATGGTCCACCACTCCAGTGGCTGGGAGTTTGTAAATGGTAAGGACTCTCGTACTCCATACAAAGAGCGGGGAGGAACAACATGGTGGAGAGTCCAGAGAAACACAACACTGGAGAAAGTACAATGGGTAACCATGAAACTATTTTTAAAAGCAGGCCAGTCCCGAGTTATTCAACAAGGATCAGAGGAATGTGCAGCTATCCCAACACTACTTTACTCATGATAGTCCATGAGTTGGTGCGGTCTGGGACAGACATATTTATGATGCAAAATACAACATGGAAACCTCTAGCAATTTTGTGAAACACCCCATCTCAACAGTGGGTATTATACACCTTAAAGGCTTTACAGTTTATATTTATGGATTGGTATACTTAAGAGAGGCACCACTTTCCACAGAGTGGAATCCAAAAGGTAAAACATGCCCCTGTAATGATAATGATGAAATAGAAAAATTACTTACCCATTCACAGTTGAACTGAATTATGTAAGATGGCAATGGATGGTACTAGGTATTCCAATGAGGGGGGAGATGGCTACATGATGAAAATAATGAAAGATAAGAGTGTGTGGTGTGGTCTACATACCAGGCTGGATGATTTCCTCTCATGGGTGAGAGAAGTGGGCAGCCAGGGAAAAAGTGAGGAGCTGGAACTGATGAGAGGATAGCTGGAAAATACATCTACAATCAGGAGATAAGGAAGAATAAGCCAATCAAATAAGGTGGTAAATCCAACCCATAAGGGTGACAGGGGGAAACATCTCGGGTAGAGAGAGGGTTCCAATGGAGCAAGAGGTGTTAATGGGAACCATGGAAGGAAGCCATGCAGGCAACATTGCACCAGAGAGCACAAAAATGACAGAGATGATGATCCAGATCAGAGTGGGAATACAAATGGAAAATGGAAGGAAAATAGAGTGAATGTAGAACAAAATGGACAAAGAAGTGAAAAGGAATGAAACAAAAGGGAGAGGACAAGAGAGGAAAAAAACTATACAAGAATGCAAAAAATGGAAGGTATTGGATAATGCTGCCCAATAACCAGCACAGAAGAACTATTGTCAAACAGCCAGGATGGAAAGGGAAGGTAACCAAGGTTGAAGGATGAACTAAATGGGAAAAAACGGGATGCAACAATTGTGGAGAGTCCAGACTGCATTACAAGGGACTGGACCAATACCACTTGTGAAGCTGGAGTGTGGCAGTGGTGGAATGACACACAGATAACTGAGGCTGCTGCAGCAGAGGGCTGGAAAGAGGAAGTGGGAATGGAGGTGAGGACTGAAGTAGTATAAGGACTATAACCACAGTTGAGCAGGCAATAAAGGTGCAGTACAAAAGACTCAACATGGAATAGTTTGAACAATGGATAAAAACTGGAGAAGGAGACATATAGGAGGATACGCATAAAGGTAAAGGTTGGACCAATCATGACTGAAGGTGTCTACCAGCAAAGCCAATGGATATAGACCCGGGGACCAAAAAAGAGGGGTAGTATGGAATTGAGGTGAGTGACAAGTGCCTCCAGAAGTGGAATACCTCACAAGATATACCAACACCAAAACATCTGAAGATCTAGGGATTACTCTGTAAGGAGAAATTATTGTCAGGATAAGACAAGCGATCTTCAACAAGATTCAGAGCATCTGAGATATGACATGCTAGTGTGTGTGTGTGTGTGTGTGTGTGTGTGTGTGTGTGATGTCAATCAGTCCTGATTAGGAGTTCCAATGTTTGAAAACATGAATGAGAAGGGGTGTCCCTTGTCAATTGATGAAAGAGACAACAGTCAAATTGTCGGAATGGATCATGACCAATTTACCTCATATGAAAGGGAGGGAATTATCAAAAGCACAATCAATGGCAAATAGCAAAAGAATATTGACATGAAGAGCTGATTTGACCAAATACCAATGACCTGGGATTTCTCACAAATACATAAATTCTCCCCAATTCATCAGAGAAGCACCTGTAAAAAGATGCAACTCGTGACTGGGAAAAAGAAGAGAAACACCTGCTGTGTTGTTGTTCCTGTTGGGCCAACGGGTTAAAAATGATGTGTAGTGAGGGATGAGGGTAGGATAACCGAATCCAATGGATCCTGAGCAAGTTTCCATTGATCATGCAACACCCATGGAAGAGCACGTATGTATGCATGACCCAAGGGAATGAGAACTTCTGTAGAAGTTCAAATTTCCAAAAGGGAAAGAGCCTCTCTTGAAGTGAGAGAAGGCAAGGATTGAGATTTAAGAAATAATAGCTTCATCGATCTCACCCAAAAAGGAGAAGGCTGTGATTGATTGAGATAGTAGTTGACACACACTCCCAAATGGATAAGGTATGAGGTCAGATGAGAAAGGACTTCTCCAAAGTTAGTAGCCAACCCACATGAGCTGCCCCTTGAAGGGATAGAGCTAAAATCAGCCAGTCATCCATATAATGATGAAATTGTAGTCCATGAGAATGAAGAAATCAGGAAAAGGCCCTGACCATCTGACAGAATATGTTGGGTGCATAAGCCAAATCAAATAGAAGAGTGCAGAATTGAGAAACTCAATCTTTGTGGACAAAATGAACATAATGTCTCGATGATGGGGAAAAGGGATGAGAAGGTAAGCATCCAAAATGTCCATCTTTGTTATCCAAAGACCCAGGGTAAACAAACACCTACCAAAGAGTGAGGAAGAATTCCATAGGGAAACAAAAAAGGTCAATGAGACTGGAAAAACCTATGACAGGGTGTCAGCCCCCAGTCTTTTTGGGCACTATGAACAACCCAGAACAGAATCCCAGAGAAGGGTGCCAGAAAACTGGATCCCAGAGATGAAGGAAGGGAATGGGATGTAGGAATAAGTGAGGCGGAGTTGGATAAGATTGGAAGTACCCAATGATCCGAAGTGAAATTGCTCCTTAGGTGCAAAAACCTGGCCAAACGTGCTCAGACTTTGTCAAAATTTATGGTAGAGTCATCGATATCCTTGGTGGCAGGACACCCAGCACTAAGCAGCTTGATGGCTAGCCACCAAGATCCAGGAAAAGGGGACAGACAAAGGGGAGGAAGGAGGGGTTAGGATATAGGAATGGGAGAAGGGAAGGTTGCAAAAAACGAGAGACTACTAATGAAAAAAAGAAAAGTGTTCATGAACAGCCTCCACCCTGGACTCCAATGAATCAGGAAGATCTCCAAAACAAAACAGGATAAAAATGGAGACATACAAAGGTCATGCAAATAAGACATGGGTAGGCACACATGAGTGAAATGTGTGTCCCTACCAGGAGATCCCAACAACCAAGGAGCCAAGTCGAGGAAGACAAGAGTACCAACGTAGAATACATTAAGGAGAAAGAATCCTCCAAAATCTATTAAGTGAATGGTGGATAGCCCCAGATAGGAGGTGGATGGAGGAGAAGTAATGCGGGAGGATGGTGAAGGTTAAACAAAGACAGGAAAATTGGTCCTCAAAGTGGTATCAGGAACAGATCCCCAAAGAATAGAATAGAAACTCAGAAATCAACCTACAGTATTTAGTTTCACTTAAAAAATGAATAAAACTGCAAACAACAAAGTTAGTTGTTTAATAAATTGTGAAATAAAAAAATCAAAGGAAACATAAGTGAAAGTTAGATACGTTTACAGTGTACTGTGCCAAATCAAAAAGTGAAGATTGGGTTCTACAGTACAGGGGGAGACAGCTGCACCAGGAGGGTGTGCCACACTTCTATAAGTGGAGGGTTGTTGTAAGGTTATTTGCATGCTACAGTGCACTTGTATCAGGTGTAAACATGTGATGGTAGGTGGGAATATCAAGGCTAGTGGCAAGCAAAAATTGTGCATATAGAGGACAGCACTGAACAAGAAAATCTATTATGCAAGTGGAGGTCAGGTATCATATCAGAAACTATTTGGTCACAAAAAGCATATGATCACTTGTAAATACGTTTTCTTAGTTGTTGTCTGTGTAAAAGACAAAATGATAATGCGTGCATAAATTCATAAATAGATATTTGAAAGCACAAAAGAAACAATTACAATAAAAAAATCTGTGAGAAAATGTATGCTCAAGTACTTGTTACATAGTGTTCAATATAGGGGATGAAAAATCTTATTATTTTTACACAGAACTTTTTTTTACGTCTTTCAAGTGTAAGTAAGAGTTTTTAATATCAATATAACATTCATGTCTTATAGGTTGTATCCAGTGGTGGGATTCAGCCGGTTCGCACCAGTTCGTGCGAATCTGTTCTTAGAATTT